TCTTGTAAACGTTGTTTCAGACCTATTTATAATTTTATTTTAATTTCATATTACACAATTGTAAATTAAAATAAGTTTTATGGAAAAATATGCTGTGGATATTTTATATATATATATATATAAAAATATAAATCTTATTGTAAAACAATCTCAACCAGTCTCCCCTCTCTGCACTCAGACAACAATCTTGGTAGGTCCAACAGTGCTCTGTAGGGGTTAAAAAATCGGATGAAGCGGAGAGCCTATTTGACAGTTATGCATATATTTCTTAAAGTGAATAACACGAGGTTCTCTAAACTATCAACCAATTCAACAGTAATTAATAACAGATAAAAAAGAAGTTCCTTGAAAATTATTTCAAATTTGATTACACCAAACAAACATACTAATCGGGCTATAGTATGTCTCGCATACTTTCTTCACTCTCCCTTTTGAAAAAGATGACAGAGTGCCTACTCATAAGCAAGCTCTGGGGACCAGAGCATTGAGAGACTTCAATGACATGGTTTCTTTCACTCCTGCGTTAAACTTTATTAGGAGGTTGTACTGGTTTCATATCATAATAGTGATAGTAACTCTTAAAATTAAATAGACTAAGGAAAAACAGAAACTAATAAGTACATACTACAGGTAGCTAGCTCACGGATAGGATGAAAACGACTGAGACGGTACCCACATTTGAGGATATTTCGACCACACAATGACCTGGGAATATTTTTAAATGCTACAGTTCGTTTTTATCAAGAACCCTCTGCATTAGACTCTATTTTTCCTTAATAGAGCCAATATAAATCATCTCAATTGGGTCTAACATTCCTTTGCTTTGCTGAAACTGCAATGAAGGTTATGACGCAGAGAGAGGGGCTGAACAAGGCCCCCTTCAAAAATGTCAGAAATGACATGGCTGAGTGAATGCAGCCCCACACCACCAAGTCAGGGCCTCTGCAGCACATCTACATGTTCTTGGGCAGCAGAGGATAAGCCCGTCCTGGAGGGAGAATGCCACAGAGGCTCTTTGTATGTCCATACAAAGACTGGAATACTCAGTCAGAATTATAATACTCCCATCCACTGGCTAGAGGCCGTGTGAAATCTGCCCTGGAAAATCCAGCAGCTGCTGCTTTCCTGGGGTGGCTGGAATTTCTGGTCCCTCATAAATCTCCTCGGTGTAGCTGCCAGAATAACTATAAACACTTCTCTGAATCAACGTCTTTATAGCCCTGATGAAATTTATATCTACATTTCATGTAAAGTATTCCATACTTCCAATCTAAATATCCTTACAGAGGAAGTTGGTGTAACCCCAAAGCCTAAAGGAAAAGCCAACTGTGTGGGTTTCTTTATGCTGGATGCTTTACCCATCGTGATACACTTCAGATGTCTTGGCATTACAAGCTACATGACGGGGGTTGAGAAAATTCCTTTGTTTCTAATATCTCCGATGTGAGAATGTTACTGCATTCAAGACAATGGTGTGATCAACTGATTGGAATGTCCCTTTAGTAGAAGAAACCAACACCACAAACTCTGAACTACCCCAGGGCTAGGTCTGAGGCGAGCTTCAAAACGTTTGTGGCAATATTCCACGACCTTTTAATTATACTTTCCCACAACTTGTTGAAGCCCCTTCATATGTGATTCATATAGGAAGATAAGGGAACAACCGCTCACATCACCTGGCTCCCCACTCTCCTCACTTATTTCTTATATTTTACGACTGACCTAGTTTCACATTACTACTAAGACATAAAAGTTTACCAAAAAAGACAATGTATCAGCAGTTACTTCAAAAATTGATTTATGATTTAATTGCTATATACAGGTAATCATATTTTCACCAGTGCTTTACAGCAAATAA